TGAAAAACTTTGTCGAAATTTATTTTTAAACCTTACAGGGAAATAATCGAGTAGTATTAGTAAAAATGGACGCTGCTGTCGAATCGATGACAAAAATGATTTTTCTGTTTTTTTTTTTTTTTTTTTCTTTTCTCTCATTCTTAATATTATTATTATTATTACTATTACTAAACGATTTGACAATTTATAAAATAATTAATTATATAACCAAATTATTATTATCAATTGTTTGTTTGCTCGTTTGTTCGTTTGTTTATTATTATTATTATTATTATTGAGGAAAAGTTAATTAAAAATTTCGAAATGGAAGACCAAAGTGCAAAAATTTTAAAGAGAGAAAAAAAAGAAAAAAGAAAAAATCTTTTGTTGTTGTGTTGATTATTATTATTATTATGATTGTTGCTGTTTTTATTATTATTATTATTATTATTATTATTGTTATTATTATTATTACTATTATTATTAATTTTATATATTATATTATCGAACGGCTGGCCTGTGATATGAATTGAATTGGTTATTTATCGCGTGAAGCCTGTATTAATATTATTAATATTATTATTATTATTACTATTATTATTATTATTATTATTATTATTATTATTATCCACCATTAAACACGACAAGGCTACTTGTCGGAGTTTTTTTTTAAGCATTTATCCGAGGTTTCTACCCGATTCCTTAGGGACAAATCCTCGAATTTCGGTGGTGCCACTTATTATAAGATAGCACCACATCAATTCTTGAAGGTCTTCCTGAGTCCGTCTTTTTCGATGGGAACGATTTGTCTCCTGAACTGGGCTCCGGTGACTAACATCTTTGGAGTGGCCAGGGTCAGAAGCAGTGAAATTCACATTCTCGTCGAGCTGCCTCAGGTCGACAGTAGAACAAGATTTGTTTTTTGGTTCTTACTTTGTCTTGTTCTCATTTTTTTTTTTGCTCTTTTAAGCCAACAGCACGTGGCGTTCTCAGACGGTCACCCATCCAAGTTTGCACCACGCCCGATGCTGCTTAACTTCGGTGATCGTACGGGAACCGGTGTGACCAGCACGCTATGGCCGTTGGCTTTTTATTATTATTATTATTATTATTATTATTATCGTCGTACTATTACTTTGGCAAAAATTTAAATTTATTTATTCATTAGCCGTTGAGTAATAATAAGGAAGCGTGTTGTTTGAACGACCGCAATCACATTAAAATTATTATCATCATTATTATTATTTGCGGTTGTATCGATTCAGGTACTAATCGTACGTGTGGGGGGGCACAGTAGTAGTAGTAGTAGGTATTTGTTGTAAAAAGTTCAAAGTTCAAATTGGAAATTAATTACCAAATCATCGTCGGTTCATATATTATTATAATATTTTGCTTGGAAAAAAAAAATTATTATTATTATTATTTCTTCTCTCTCTCTCTCTCTCTTTTATGTTTTAGTAATAGTTGGCTTTGAATTATTTTTATTGGGGATACAGGTTTTCGATCGTTTTTTTTTTTTTTTTTTTGGGGGGGGGTGTATAAGCTTTTAAGAAAGTTTTTATTTTTCCTCTTCCATTTTCTTCGTATTATTTCTCAACAATCGATTTTATGTGCTCGTCGGTGCTTGGCATTATTTTTTTTTTTTTTTTTTTTTTGGCAAAAGAAAAAAGAAAAAATTTACTTTTCCAATAATTTTTCCCAGGATGATTATAATTTTCAGGTACGAATTCAGGTTTATCGTTTATAATATGTACATAAATATTTACATTTTAATGATTTAGTTAGTATTATATTTTTTTAGCTTAATCATGATTTCAAAATGGATTCTTGTAAGATGGGGGAAATGGGGAGTGTGGGAGGGGAGGGGAGGGGAGGGAGTAAAGTTCGATTTACTTCGGTTGAAAACTATTGTTGTGTAAAATATGAGATTTTTTTTTTCTTTCTCTCTTTCAATTTAAAAAAAAATGTAATTTAATATTTGCATTTGTTGTATGTACCTGAGCGTGAGTTAAAAGTAATTAATATAATCTTAACGAATGACAGATAAGAAAGGAAAAAAAACTGATTTAAACCTAATTTACGACGAGGTTGTGAAGTAATTCGAAAAGAATTTTTTCTTTTTTTTTTTTTTTCTTTGCTGTTATTTAAATGTTTGTTTGTTTTCTTACTGTTTGTACCTTCCTTCCTTTTTCCCACTTCTCGTACCTGATATTCATTTAACAGACAAAACCAAATTCTTTCTTTTTAAATTTTTGCTCATGGCTATATTATTAAAAAAAATTTTCTTTTTCATTATAATTTTTCCTTCTTTTTCCTTTTTTTATTTTATTTTATTTTATTTTATTTTATTAAAAAATGAAAAGCTGATGTTGACGGCAACATCATCACTATTGTCGGGTTGCTATGGAAAAAGTAATTACCTTCTTCTCCATTTTCTTTCTTTTCTTTTTTTTTTTTTTTCCTCTTTTTCTTTTTCTTTTTTCTTTTTTCTTTTTTCTTCTGTTTTTTAATAACTTATTTTTTAGCTTTTATATGTCAACCGTCGTGACTTATTTACTTTCATCATCGTTATCGTCATCGTTGTCATCGTCGCTCTGTTTTTTTTATTTTTATTTTTTGTTTTACATTTTCTGAGAATGTCGTTTAACATTATCCTTCTTTTGTATTTTTTTTTTTTGTAAAATGCGAAACAAAATTAATGTTAAAAGAAATTTTAGAAATCGTTTTTAGAATGTGTGTATAATAATAATAATAATAATATTTTTTTTAAAGATAGTAGTTGTTAAATAATTATCGTGAAATGGGATATATATATAATTATAAAAAGAAAATGTCATCATTGTAATTCAGTTTTAAATAATTTGAAAATGGAAAGGAAAAAAAAAGGTTGGGGAGACACTTTAATTTCCCATTTAAAAAAAAAAAAAGAAAAATCGAATGACGAGGAAAAAATTTAACCTCCTCTCGATTTAAAATAAAAATGATCGGTTTCGGTATTAAAATTGTTTTTTCCCATTAGAAGAAAATATTCTCAACTGAGCCTTTAAAGGGAGGCCTTTTTGAAAAGGTAATGAACGGAGTAAAATGAAACCTTTTGTGTATAAAAGGGTTTAAATTAATTTATAATGAGAGTGAGAAAGAAAGAAAGAAAAAAGGTGATGATGATGATGATGATGATGATGATGATGATTTGGCACCTGTCGGTGGTTGTTGTAAGTGGTGGTAGTAAGGCGGTAGGAACGCCTGCCACCTCTGCAAAATGTTTCACGTGTTTGTTTGTTCGACACGGTGTTGAAAAATGGGGGGAAGGGGGAGCAGGGGTGGTGGTTATTCGAAAATTAGCAAGAGAGTATAAGAAAAAGAAAAGATTTATTTAAAAAATACGATTTGTTGTTGTTGTTGTTGTCGTTGTCGTGTCGTCGTGGATTCCCCTTCTGACAGAAGACTTAATTATTATTAAATAGAGTTAATAAGTTTTATGTATTATTTAATCGTGCGTTGGCGGTTTTTTTTTTTTATTTATTAAAGAAGCGGCGAAAGGAAAGTGGTATGGGGGAAAGAAGAAGAATGGCGGAGTAGTCAAAGAGTAATAAATAACCTTCTTTAATAACAATTTGTCATTCACGGATGATTTAATAAAAATAAAATAAAAAATTATGTTTATTTGATCTTTTTTTAATTAATTAATAATTTTGTACTTTATTACTAATACATCAGTTTCTTGTTTTTATTTTATTTAACTTTTTTTTTTTTTTTTTTTTTTAATTTCAAATTTTTGACATTTTGGCGGGAAGATGTGTTTCTTTTTTTTTTTTATACGTGTTTTCGAAAATGATGAAATCTAATCGGAACGATTTATTTATTTTGTACGGACTGGTTATTATTATTATTATTATTTATTGGCGGGAATGTGACTGACTATGATTATATATAAAAATGGGTCGTGCTGCTCGCCATCGGCACGAATATAACACGAAAGGATGTAAATATACGTAAGCTGGGATTTTCCCAGTGTGTGAAAGAAAGAGAGGAAGAGTTGTATGATAAGAGAGTAAAAGTGATAGCGATATGTTCAAAAGGAAGAAAATTGGTATACCCGCGGTGACAATCGAGTCGTGTTGTGTCTACCACCACCACCACCATCACCATCATCATCATAAAGAATGCATCAATCATAAAAATAAGAAGAAGAAGGAAAAAATTTGTTGTTGTTGATGTGTATTGCCTGCCATTGACCCAGCCAGTCTTTGGTGGCATTCCTCCCGCGCGTTGACCGAAGTCGATCTCTCGATCGATACCTTAAAGGCATCATCTCATCTCCGCTCAATAAAGAGCGTTAGTTATGAAACCATTGCAAAAGAGTCCCAACCAGGTTCGGTTTGAAATATCCTTCATTCAGGACAGTGCACTCGCGTTTTATAACAACAACTCGACCACCAGACAAAGCCATTTTTCGTCCTTCTTATTTCTAACTACTCCTCCGGTTCTTTCTTCTTCATCTTCTTCACGTTTGTCTCTCATTGCCATGTTGGTTTTTTGCCGCCATTTGTATTTTTAAATCATTAATATTTATTAATATAAACAAAATTATTGTTATTAATGCGTTTTGAAAATTTATAAATATTTTTTTTTGTACGCGACATTGAAATTACTAATTATGAATTTTATTATTATTATTATTTAACAATAATCATTTAAATTAATATTGAAATAAATGATTTTTTTATT